AGGGACTGTCGGAATACGCTCTGCCAGAAGCCTTGATCAGTGGCATAAATTATAATAGGGCTGGAATAGGCGATCTTGGGTGTGTGAATGCATGACATTGGCCGTCCAATAAGCCGAGGCATTTAGTACATTTCTAAGTGTACATGTATCTTGAAGTTGACCCTTTTAGTCTTTTCTCGTCTTGCCTTTAATTTTCGAAAGGTCACAGCTGGAAAGATTGAACGGCTCTCCTAGCCAAGCCGTTGATAAATTGAGTAGAATGTCAATAAACTAGACTCGTGAATTGAGAGAAACGAGCTGAGAAGCCTGATCAGCTGAAGCTTGATCATGTCTGCAAATGATGCCAAGTACCGCTATGTTTTAGCCCCTGCTAACCTTTAGCGTAAATGAGACGCCGTCGGTTCCGGGATCCTGGTTCTCCACTAACGAAGTCGCCGATAATGAATTATTATAGGTACATCTTACCTCATGCTAGTGCTTCGTTAAATGCCAATGGATTCCAACCCCTGAATCCTAGAACGAGAAAAAAAAAAGGGGGGATACGAACAGAATAATGATCTGTTCTCATCGCGCGTCGTCAGACTACGATTACGCTGCAAATATTCACCACAACATCATCATCCAAGAGCAGATGGGTTTCTCATCGACAAAATGCTCTTGCAGTCGCGCTTGTCTGCGTTGTCCCTGCGCTGGAAGCAGTTGCCCAACCTTCACAAAGTTGTAGTCGTCTTTGTTGCGTCTTTATTCTTACTAGGTACGTGAGCCCCTCCTGTTCTACCCAGACACGCGACCCATCGGCCATGGCCAAATGTACTTGGGATTAATATGGAAGACGAATATAGTCGTTCTTATTCAACCTGATCCGACAGTCGCTCGCGATGGATGGAACCGCCTGGCGCCTTTCGGGAACCGCCCTTTGGCCGGCGGAATTCCCCTGCGCGTTATGTTTATCGGCGCCTCGATGACCCTAGGCGAGCATTCGACCGGCGAGAGGGGATATCGAAAGCAGATTCGCGACTGGATAGTCGCTCGCGGCAATCCGGTCAACTTTGTCGGCCAAGTGAGAAGATCTCTTTCCTAAATATCGCATCTCACATTATCTTTTCTCAGTCCTTCTAACATGTCGCGTGTCTTTAGAACCGGTACGGCGAGTTCAAAGATAACGATGTCCAAGCATTCGGTGCCCAGCCTATCAAACCGACCCTCGATCGCCTTAAAGAAGTAGTGCCACAGGTCCAACCAAACCTAATCCTGATCAACGCGGGTTCGAGCGACTGCTTCCAGATGGACCATTGGGGACCCGCTTATGTCCTGCAGGCCATGCGAGAGCTAGTCGACTACGTGTTCGAAAAATCGCCCCGAGCCACGGTCATCATGTCAACCGTCATAACAAGCCCGTGGGAAGGCACAGAACGCTGTGTCACAAGCGTCAATGCGCAGATCCGCCAGGTTGCCGTCGACCTAATTCGCGAGGGCAAGCATGTGACCATGGCCGAGATGCACTTCGACCAGGGCTTGCCGAACCGTGTCGAGCGAGAGGACATCGGCCCCGATGACATGCATCCTACCGATATCGGTTACTTCAAGATGGGCGACATCTTTATGGAGAAGATCCTCGAGGTCGAGAAGAACGGCTGGCTGCAGCCCCCCGTGGAGAACGGCGTGCCTGCAGACGGCGATGCTGCCAGGGATGCTGAAGAGGCGATAAAAGCAACGGACGAGAAGATCAGGGAGAAGGAAAAGCAAAGGGAGACAGAAGGAGTGCCGAGTAACGCTCTCCCAGGCAGGAGAAGTCTTGAAGGCCGAAGGACACAGAACAGGCGACGCGGTGCTATTTAATTAAGCAGCGCCCTCCAAACGTAATATTAGCATGTATGGGTAGGTAACTATAGATTTTTTGCTCCTTGGAAGAGACCTTACTCGAAGTGGTAGATGTTGGCGCATAGGATGACTTGATGCTTACTATCTAGCCTCACGGTCCTTTCTGAAGACAGCTCAAAACTGCGACAATACTTTGCAACCACAAAAATACTACCAGATATTTTTTCAAGTACTGACCCTCTAACAAAACTCACGGAACACACTTGTCTATCCCAGACCAGCCACACGTGCTCGCTATAGCATGACGAAGTAGACCAGTGATATCAAAAGGGAACAAACAGCATGGGTACGCGAACTAGGCGAAGAGGAAGAAGGGGAAAAAAAAGAAGCTGGTTCCTGGTTTACAGGAAGCCATGGGAATTGAGCCCACGGCGAGGCTCGAACTCGCAGCCTTGAGATTAACCTCCTTAAGAGTCTCACGCTCTACCGATTGAGCCACGCGGGCTGTTTTCTTGTTGATGAGCGAGTCACTTGTTACAGATTTTGTACCAGGTGTAGGTTAGAGAGTGGGTGTGAGTCATCCAGGGAGCCACCAAGGTTTAAGGCTAGCAAGCAAACTTCCACTGGCGGTATTATGAGATGAAATTTCTTTGACGGTGCCAGAGTGTAAGCTTGAGTAGAGCCAAAGACAGGATATTAGGGCACGATGCCCTGGTACGATGAAGGACGAGGATCAAAACCCCAACTCCCGTTCATACAGCTCAGCCCCGTTCCCGATGGGCTGGATCAAGGTGTAGCTAGCCGAGCTGTTGAACTCTTGCACGCCGTTGACCAGATACAGGGGCGTGAGCAGGCCATCGTCGCTGAAGAAAAGCCGCGGCCGCTCCCGCCTGTAATAGGCAGTTTGGCCGCCGTCCGTGAAGTCCACCGTCGTGTCGTATGCCGGCTGCAACTTGAAGGTCCAGTTCCCCGTCAGGCTGCGCGAGAACAGGTGCCCGCCCACCCGCGGGTACTTCTCGCCTCGCTCGGCTATGTCGATCATCCAGTGGCAGAGGATGTGCCAGTTCCCCTGCCTGTCGCGCCACAGGAACGGGTCCTCCGTCCAGTGGTCGCTGTAGTCCGACGTGTTCCACGGCATCGACTTGACCAGATCGTAGGAGCCGCCGAAACTGTCGGCGTGGTAGATGTAGTTGTCTTCCACAGCAAGCACAACCTCGGACGTGGGGTTGTTGTCGGTCCATAGCGGCCACGGCGTCGGGTTGGTTCCGTTGAGCAGACGCTCCGGCGTCGACCATGGGCCTCGAACGTCGGGCGCGCTGGAGACAGACACGTTATTCGGCCACTTGTACGACTTGCACGAGTCTGGCGTGTCGGTCTCGATCCCGATGGTGTACATGAGGTACTTCTCGTCGGCTGGGCTCCACACAACTTTGACGTTGTGGCGAAACGTGCCCATGAGCTCCTGTGCGTAGTGGTACGGGCCAGCCGGTCCCGTGCGCGACTCGGCGCGTGCCACGGTGCTAAACGGTCTCCAGCCCGACAGCCCGCACCCGCGAGGGAACTGGTCGATGATCAGGTGGAAGAGCGTCCTGTCGTCGCGGTCCTGCACGATATTCCCTCCCCATGACGAGTTGCCCTTTGCGCCGTAGAAGTCGGGCAGGGTGAAGTTGGTGTAGTTATACCCCGTCCACCGCGTCGCGGGCAGGAGGTCGAGCTGGCCGCAGTCATCTGACTTCCATCCCGCGTCGCACTGACATGTGCGGGACGACCCGTCGCAGATCCCGTTGAGGCTGCAGTCGTCGTTGGTGGCGCATCCGCGGACGGTAGCACCTGTGGTGAGGCAGAGAAGCAGGAATGCTTTTATGAACGTGAACGGCGGACCGTACATGTTTGACGTAATGATGCACCTTGAATTAGCCGGAGGAGTGTGGTCTATGATCTTGCCATGACGTGCTAAGAAGGGGTGATCAGGGTCAATGGTGACTAGGGGGTTCAGAATAGCTAAGCGTCGGCGTATCATTTGCCCGATATATCTTGCCTCCTAATAATATTCCCAAGTTAGGGAGGTACTAATCCTAAACCAGTCGAGGTTGTATGTTCGCTTTGTTGGGAATACGTTTTACAGTGGTATTATAAACATATATGTCTGGACAATCCGAAGGTATTATTAGGTAAACGAGCACTTTGCAGCGGAAATTCGTCAACTGCACAACTGATGCAGATGACGGCTTGGTTATGAATAACCTGGTGCTAGAGGCAACAGAACCAAGAGGACTGGTTACTAGTCAGAGAGCGCCGTGGATGAGAATTCGTCTGGTTTACACTTAGCATAAGTGTACTCTCAACCGGTATCCCAGTGCTCTAGGCGATATAGATGCTTCTATGTTTGGTAGATACCTAGTGAAGACATAACGACAGCAATAATGGGAGAACAAGGGGTCCAAACCAGGATTTGTGAAGAAGGCTTTCCAATAATCTGGATTGTGACATACTTCGCGACAACCCTTCATCCTGAATTTGGGACCCTCGAATCAATCACCTCTAGGCTCTCCTTTTAGTCTTCATGGAGAGATTCTGGCTTGTTGCTGCTGCTTTCCTCTACCTATGTTATCATCCTCGTCATCTGCAAGCTCAAAGCAGCAGCCTTCTGAAGTTTTCATCGGTCCATAGTAGACATATGTACATAGATAGATCCGTAGCACTACACGCCGCATACACTGAGGATGTCTACGAGTTCCCCGTGTAAATAACGGTTTCTTCAATTTCTTTGTCATCGATACCAAGGTTAAGTGATGATAGCTATTAGTGCGAGGATTTAATAAGTCGATGAACAAGTCGCGTCATTACACGATACGTAAGTGAAGCTCTTAGAAGCAAGCCGTGGGAACTTATTCTTCTTCTTTTATATGTAAATAAGGACCATTTGACATCCATCTGAATACAAATAAACCATTTGGCAATATCTTTGATGGCGTTGGTTCTGGATTTATTGTCTATTTCACCCTGCCTCGCCTCTCTTCCAAATAGGAGGTTGGGAGGAGAGAAATGGACGAAGGCAATTGACGAGAAAGAGCCAAGAGAATGAGAGAAAGAGAATTGAAGTTGAAAAGACAAGCAAGCGACATTCAAATGGAAAGTAAAAGAGAAGATCCAAAAGGAAAACGAATTGAGAAAAAAAATCACCTGGGCGGGATTCGAACCCGCGTCTCTCTCGGAAATCTGCTCATCCTTAGGGCAAGGAGAACAGGCTAGCAATGCAGCATATCCAAGTATGCCGCGTTAACCATCAGACCGAGGCGTGCTACCACTGCACCACCAGGCGATAAGGACGTTGGCAATAAACAGCCTTATATGCTTGACTGGCATTCCTCTGGGACGGCGCTAGCACTGTGCACGATACTTGGGTACATGAGCGTAGGATAACACCAGCACTGTGCAGGGTACCTTCAGTGGGTACATGAACGTCCCATTGTAACTGCACTGATCATTGTGCATACCTGGGTGGGTGACGACTCCCCTCTTGGCCCTTGGCCTCTACAACGAATTCAGGTACGTACCGATATGACCAGAACATGAGATGCTTTCAGATATTCCAAGTGTGATAAACTATTCGATATTACCTTTCCGTTCTCAGGTTAATATCAGTGACTGGGAAACTCTACAGAGTGTCGAGTCTCCTCAACTTGAACTATCCCTTGAACTATTGGGAGCTTAACCTGACGTAGAGCCTTTCGTGGGTTACAGCTGTTAATAGATCATACAATGTCGGCTAATCAGGGTCACGGTTACGCAGAAAGTCAACGATAGTTTCCAGTTCGCAAAGTCAAGTGATGCAACTATGGACAACTTTGTTACTCTAGTGAGCCACAACCAACATTGTTCAGACGATAAAAGCCAAACGCCAAAAATCTAGCGCAGAATCAAGCAAACCTAAAGTCCTGTTGACATTATAAAGTAAACAGAAGGGAAAGTACGTTAGTCACAGCGTTAGGTATCCAGGTGTCTATATATATCTGGCCACTTGACTCGACGAATCTCTCCTTTCTCTTCCAACTTCACTTCTTCTACATCAACATTATCTGTCCTCCATCAAAGGAACATACACAACAGCGACTACAACAACGTCGACAAGCAATACATCAATACACATCAACATCAACAAGAACACAAAGCGACAGTTTCAACACACTGATAACAGTCCCTTTTACTTGTAAGAACATGTCTTCATTCCCAGATCATCACCAGTACTCTCCTGCTCCGTTCAAGTCAATCATCAATTCAATTTCTTAACATATCAAACCCCCTTTTCATTCCTCAAGCATTCATCTACGCACAGTGCGTTACTCCCGAATGCAACATCACTTCAAACATTCCCAAGACATGCACAATAATTGATCATGCCATCCAAGTCTGATACAGAAGCAGATAATCGGAGACACTACCTTCTACCAGACCCCATACCGTCTCTAGATCTGCAAATATTCATACAACACTCAGTCACCGCCAGACATGACCATGTCCAACACCAATATGGTTGGTCTCTCTGTAAGTGTCACTCTAGCTATCCGACAATCCTACTTTCTGAGACCCCTAAGTTTTGGGTGATACACATGCTGACCCCCTATTCACAGCGCCCGCTCTCCTATCCACTGCGCCCGCACCTTGACGATGACAAGTCAAAGGAATACATTGACATAGATGGCGACCTATGTCTCGACATAGGCCATGGGTCGGCGCTATTCGTGGTTTGCTCGAAGTCCCTTGCCAGGTCTTCACGATTCTGGAAGAGGCTGCTGTACGGACAATTCAAGGAAGGCCTCGGGCGAGAGAAACCATCGGAATGGGTCGTTGAACTCCCCGAAGACGACCCGGAAGCTATGAGGACAGTGCTCAACATCGTTCACTGCCGCTTCGACCAAATCACGGACTACGATGAGGACGTGGACGTGATGTGCCTTCTAGGAGTCTGCGTGTTGACCGACAAATACGACATGACACATCTCCTTCGCCCTTGGGCCACAGGTTGGTCGCGGAACGTCAATTTCGAATGCAACGTACAAGGCGACACTTTGCGCGATAGATACTCCCACGAGCGGCTTTGGATCGCATGGGAGCTGGGCGACATAGCAGAGTTTAAGGAATTGGCGAGGTTCATGCTACTAAACTGTTCCTTTGCCACCGGTCAGTCGCTATACGTAGATGACGTCCAAGCACCACCGGGCATATACGGTAAGTCTACCTAGATACAATCTAACCAACCGATGATTCTCATTCCTATGACCACGACTAACGAACGCCGACCATAGAAAACATCGAAAATGCCCGTCTGGAGATACTAAAGGATCTGTTCGAGAGCCTCGAGGGCCGACTGGACAGTCTTGTCACCCCCGACCAAGAGCATGACTCCGAAACAGTTGACTGCGCTGCTCTAATGTACGGCAAGGCAGCCCAGACACTATATAAGCTCCAGCTTTGGCCGTGGCCGCAAGGCGAGAAGGTCCCGCACAGCTTGGCACACATTGTGAAGAAACTTCTCGCCATAGATTGGAGGAGCGCGCATACCGGCAAGGCCCACGAAGCCGTGAGTAACATCTAGAGTTCTTTCCCCCCCGAGACATTATTTCTGGGGCAAATATCCTTCCTAATGAAGTAATTACTGACTCCCGTTATTGCAGTGCGCCGAATATATGCGAAGAGCGTGGTGCGATGATGTGATCAATGCCGTGTATCCCCTCGGCGACAACAAGTCATCCTTGCTGTCAGATGAACACCGTCGACACCTGGATATCCAGAGTAAAAAGTCTGGATTTTATATCAAGGACGCGGATACGAGGCCATGAGCCTGCTGCAAGCAAGAAAGGGTGGGAGCTCTTTGATACAGCGACGGCCTATGGATTATATACACCCTCACCGTTCCTCATCTTTCTCTTGGTCCCCCTTCCGTACTCTCTCTCGTCCCTTCATCTCCCTAATCAATCACCACGCCGAAGATCTATAGTCGAAGTTGAACATAATCGATAAGAATAAGCTATGGAGCGCTATCCAGAGCATCCACGAGACTGCTGAGGAGTCGCACTTAGAGAACGTGGAGAAGACACTGCCCCTGGTGCGATGGATGGCAATCAGATAGAATACAATAATTACTAGAACACAATGACTACTAGAACACAATAGTTACTAGAATACAATAACTACTAGAATACAAATGACTATCACTCGATTCATATCACAAGGCGTGCATGAACAGACCAAGCCTTCAGATGATCCGTGAGCCTAGCCTCCCTTAGGCAGATTGATTCACTAGCAAAACACTACGGCAAGTCTCGACGTAGGCCTCTACGGCACAGACTGAGCCTTCGTGAGCTGATCCGTAGATGGCAAGACATGCTACAATCATGGGTGCAAGTAGACCCTTCAACTCTCACGACACATATCTGATCTTACGGACGTTGGAGTACGAATGGTCACTTAACTAACCCAGCACATCGCACAAGGTAGGTTATGTACGTAGGTATCTGTTACAATTCATCTAAACTCACTATAATAAGCCAATCAGTCCCTTTGGAGAAGCATACAAGTGCCTAGGAGCAAGGTAACGAGGCAGATATACAACCGCAGCAAGCGTAAACCCCCTCACTCTCCTAATTGTCTAACTTCGGAAGTTGGTAACCAAACCACGACTTCATTCAGACCAGCTTCAAGCACCCAAACCTATATCCCATAATCCATAGGCCAAACGCAAACGCAAACGCAAATGCAAACCTAGACATCCAAACTCCCCGGATCGCGACCAGTAAAGATCTTAAACAAGCGCTTGCTAGCAGCGGGCCCAACGACGCGGTCGGTAAACGCGCCGTCGCGATTAGCGCACTTCTGGCAGTTCTCGAGGGCGAGGGGGCCGTGGGACTCGAGGCCGCGCACGAGGGATGCGACGGAGGCGTAGCGGGCGGCGACGCCGTAGGCGACGGGAGCCGTGACGCGGTTGACCTCCTGCAGCATGCGGGCGTAGGTGTCGGCGGCGTCGTCGCCGGTGCGGACTTGGCCTGCCTCCATGCAGAAGCCGGCGTCGGCGGCGGCTTCGCGGGCCCGTCGGTATGGCACTGTGCTTATGTGCTGCGTGAACACGGTGACCCACTGCGCTGTCTCGATTGAGGCGTTTGTGTGGTGGATTAGTGCGCCGTGGAGGACTTGCAGTGAGAGGAGCGCGTCCTCGATCACGTCCTCGTCGATGTACTCTTGCTGCGCGTTGTTGTTGTTGCGGCGGCGCGACTGGTTGGATGACGACGATGTCTGGCTCGGGTCCCCGTTGGCGTCTAGGGCGCGGACGGCTGACGCGAAGCGGCGATTAAGCGCGTTCTTGTTCTTGCGCATCCACGGCATGAGGCCCTCTATGAGGTAGACGAGGGTCTTCCCGGGGAAGCTGGTTTTCATTCTCAAGACGTGTGCCTCCAGGTCTGCGCCCTCGGCCGCGAGGACGAGCTTGACGAACTCGCTGGCTTCGAGGATCGCCATGACGTGCTCTTCCGGCCTGACGTGCATCGGGATGGGTTCCCAGTAGCCCAGCTCCTCGTTGAACTTGGAGGTGACTTTGCGCCGCCACTTGACGACGTTGTCGACAGGGTTGCTGCTGTACTCGAATTGAACGTCCATGTTGCCGAGCAGCTTTTCAATCTGGGTTTTGATGCCGACGTTCAAAGTGCTCGGGAGATCCACGATCATCTCAGGCACGGCGACCTTCCTGTCCGTCTTTAGCTTGTTGACCTCGGCGAGAGCTTTCTCCTTCTGCTTCTCGATCGCTCGCTGCTCCTTGGCTTGTTCCTTTTCGAGTCGCTTGCGTTCTTTCTCAGCCTCGCGAGCTTCTGCTTTCTTTTTCTTCTCCTGCTCCTTCTCCTCTTCTGTCTTCTTTGGCTCCGTCGATTTCCTAGGCGCGGCACTTCTCTTTGCCGCTGCTGAACTTTTCGCCCTAGGTTTAGTCCGAGGCGGGGAAGGTGACAGGCTCCAAGAAAACCTGCTGGTCCTGACCTTCGAGAAATCAATGTCGGCTAACTCGGGCAAGTCATCAGAATCCGAGACCCCCAGGTCGTCATTGTCCCTCCTCGGCTCTGGCATGGAGCTCGATATTGGATCCCAAGCAGCTGCCTTTGGCTTCGATGCCTTTGATATTTGTTTTCCTGGCTGGTCGTCGAAGTCATCGTCTGAAAGGTCTATGACCACTGGTGTCTTTGACGATTTCTTCTTCGACGACTCGAAAGGATCATTAGACGGAAGTTGCCGAGCCTGCGTGTTTGTGGACGACTGTTGGTAGTTGGTATCTCGTTTAGG